GTTTCAGCCCCGTCTGATTCTCAGTGGGCACACGCACAGTGCTTGTGAAGTGCTGCACGCGGGGAAAATCCCAGAAGTCAGCGTCCCGTCATTCAGTTGGAGGAATAGAAACAATCCTAGTTTCATCATGGTAAGTTTTAATTTTTTTTATTTTTGTCAGATAACTTTCATAAATAAATCAACATGGCAGTCAGCTATATTTGAAAACTGATTCTACCTGTAAAAACAAAAAATAAAAAAATTGCCTACCCGCCCAACCCACTCAGTACACTGCATCCACATTACGAAGTACATCTGTGGGAGCCACATGCTCTGTGGGGTACAAAGCAATGCTGTCAGAGAGCTGACTGGTATCTGGGGACAAGCATCTAACGTTTCCTTATAAAGAAGAGGGTGCATTGTAAACTATTGACTTGTAAAAATAATCAGGATTGTGCACGGAACGGTAGAAAGCCTAGTTTGGCTTGGTTGGTTTACCAACTATGAAAAACGAGACCGCATCCACCTCAAGCTCTCGTGCGCGGTGATGGTGGCTTTCGAACGTGCGCGTTCACCGCTTCACGCAGCGGGGACGTTTGTCGCGTGCCAGCAGTCCGCCTCCTCATCTCCACATCTCGTACAGCGCGTCGGTTACGCTCTCACAGGCAGTTCCAGTGCTCTGTACATCCTCAGAGGTAAATCAGCGAGTCCCCCGGTTCAGAAATAAAGCAGAACTCCTGGAAGCGTGGAGTAAGAAGCAGAACCTACAATCTGTTTACAGAGTAGTCTGTGACTTGGGGGGGAAATATTTGACGTATTTTTCTACTGCTGAGTTTAGGCTGCTTTTAATACACAGATAACCCCGAACTTTTAAATTCTTTTTATGCAACTGTTAGTATTTCTCGTTGAAAGTAGTTCTGTTTATTCCATATTCCTGAGAGTAGCTGCCTTCAAACTACACGCGCTCTCTGCACACGCCAGACAGCGTATCTTCACTGCAAAGCAAGAGGTTGGCTAATTAAAGTTGCATCGCCTTCACTACTGTTTTAACTCAGCCTTGGCCTGCTGTAAACTTTAATTTGAGCTGCAAAGTCAAGCCACAACCCAATGAAGCTCTTTGTTGTTGAAGTTTGTGTTCGTAATTTGCATTAGCCAACGTGTTTTTGCAGCATGTACTGGGTAGGGGGAGGAAGGGGCACAGTCACAAGACCTGACTTGAGCCTGGGAAGGCTCCTTCCGGGTGGATTTACAGCAGCTAGAGCCAGGCTTCTCTCGAAGGCAGATCAGATGAGGAGCCCAGCGCTGTTTACGCTAGATGGAATGCAGGGAAGATTGGCCTCAAGGCTAATGTTGGCCTGGCAAAAATTCCAGTTAGTGCCCAGCACCGTGGGGCGCGGACTCTTCAGGCCCCTGGAGAAGGCACTGGTGCTAGGAAACCGGCCCCAACCCTTGCCACCCAGCACAGAACTTAGAGACTGGAGAGCTGGCAGTCGCGGTGATTCAGACCCCACCGTGACAGCAACGTGACACTCGTCGTTTCTTTTCCAGGGCAGCATAACACCGACTGACTTCTCCCTCCAAAAATGCTTCCTTCCGCAGGAGAGCAGAGTCTTTGCTATGTACTGTGCAGCAGGTGCTCTGCTTGTAATCCTCATACTAGCTCACTTTCAGCTTCTCACTCCACCATTTTATTTTGCTCAGCGTTTAATCAGTAAGCATAAAGCAGTATGAAGAGCCAGACATCTGCAGTCAGTCACTGAAATACCAAAGCTGAGAACAGTCAAACATCAGACTATATTCATGCCAGCAAACGACCTAATTTGATTGCTAGTCTGAAGGCAGGTTGCATTTACACATACCATAGAAGTCCTATACAGCTGATATGACTACTACAGGATAAATAACTGAAATGAACGTTTCATGCTGTACAAAAATACTGTATTCTACAATCAAATGAGTCCTTTTCCTGCTGTAATTTTTGTATCAAATATGTATATTAAAAGTGTAACTGTACATTATGTAAAGCCTGTAGCCTCATCCCTTCTCTGCACTGGTGTCTTACCCTGGTGGAGGCTCAGCCCTGCAAACTGGAACCGTTTCTCTGTTTTATTGCTGCATGGCCCCTCTAGTGTCGTCCTTCTGTTCGTTAGGGTCAGGCAAAAACTAGATACAGCAGCAGCGACCGATGCGGACTCCCGTAACCTTTTCAGGATGTCATATGTACGGGACTGGGGTTTGGGACAAGAAATGTTCCAGTTCCTGACACGTTAAATTGTTAGCTGACTACGCTTTGCAGTTATCGTCTACCAGACAACAACGGGAAGAAGCTCGTGGATCCAGTTTGCTGATACACATTCGAAACCTGCTTTAAAAAAAAAAGTAGGGTGACACCTCAAACTGCTGTTTTTAAAAAGATGTGCTATGATGAGCTTAAAAAAAAAAAAAAAAAAGAGGGCCCTATTTCCTCCCAGAGATCTGCGTGGTGAGGGGCCCTCCGGTCGCCAGTCTTCTGCAAGAAGGAAGGTGAAATACAGCTGCAGTAACATTGTCCTAGGCTTTGGCTCTCGGCCTGCAACAGACAGGGTGGGCAGGAAGGTGCCTTATTTCAGATTGCTAACCGGTTGCGGAGTCACGTTGGGAACTGCGCTCGCTCTGCCCTGGGGAGGCGGGGGGGGCCACGCTGGATGGCAGCGCGGGGAACGTCACGTCGCTGCGCACGAGGGAAGCCATGACCAACCTACTGCTCGTCCCCCCCGCCCCAGACAAACCCGAGGGACTATTTCACACCAGGGCCAGTTCTCCTGCCGCTGTTCCTGCAGAGGCTGGGAGCCCGGGGCTGAGCTCCTGGGCTGGGGGCTGCTCTAAAGAAAAGACGCTCTTTTGTTATTTGCTCTGTGACTTTCTTTGGCATGGGAAGGGGGCAATCTTTGCCTTGGGGAACGTTGGTTGTTATCAGCTTATTCCACCCAGCCTTTCACTTTCTGGGAAACAGCTGATGCCTAAATTGAACGTACAGGTATCAAAGCATACGCATTTCTGGGAAGAGGAAAGGGTCATATTATAGTATCTAAAATGGGATCGTTTCTCATCAAATAGAAACAAGTTCTCAATTTGGCTGAAGTCTGATTTTAAAAAGTTGCCTGATGGGGGGGGTCGTTGACTAATATTGATGTTTATAGTAAAAAGTTAATCAAACCTGCTGATTTCTATTCCAATGTGGGGAATGTGTTAGCTCTTAATCTCTCCCTAAATTTAAAATGAAGTGGGGGGAATGGTCCAAAGTGTGGTAAAACACTCTAGAAAGTAATGTAGTCTAACACTTCTCTAGGTTTCTGTTATTGCAACTGTAATTTTAGACATTTGTACAGGTTATCTTGGACACAGGAAAAGTATATAGTCACAGACATAAAACACCTATGTATAAAATATAAAGCAGTGTTATAGTTACTAAAAAGGACATGCCTTATTGCTACAGCAATTCTTGCTTTTTATATATTGTACTGTACCACAACTTGTTTTGAGAATGTCATTTGCATAAATTATTCAAGTTTGAGAAATATTCACACATTTTGATTCTACAATATTTAAAATAAAACCATTTTCTAATGTGGCTGAATATGGTTCAGCTTCATTCAGTGGAGCTGACCTTGCAATAAGAACTGACATACTGTCCCACTGAGAGTTATAACTTTTAATGAAACCACTTAAAAATACTGCAACCCTTGTTCTTCTGTTGCATTGAAAAGAAATTTGGCACTTTCCTTGCTTTGCTGCAAATATTTCTGTTTGCGTGTTTGTCATTTGAGAATTGTAGATAATCGGTATGGCTGTGTTTGATCTCACAATCTGGCAAAAAAAAAAAAAAAAAAAAAAAATCCTTGGTTCCCATTGAAACAACACCAGGTTGCAATTTGGACACTCGAATGAATTCCAATGTTTTAAAGCTGAGACTTCAAAAGAGAAAGGCATGTTTGCTGCAACATCCGGTGACTGTAATACCTTACTTGGAAAGGTAAGTGGTTAATTTGCATAATTTATAATTTTTATACTAAAGAGCATTTTTATATAAACCAGAAAAAAACCCCTAAACTCTACAGATAAAGTTCTTACCTCCAGTCACTGCTGCAGGTAAGGTTGACATCAAGCTGTACAGCGCAATCAAAAACATACTTACATCTTAGCTCATTTTACAGGTACAGCCATAATCAAGGCACAAAGATCTTCTACAAGTATTTTTCTTCAATAAAGTTGTACAAAATAATATTACATTTTACAGTCTGTACAATATAATAAACCAGCAGTAAAACAAAAAAATATATATAGGGAGAGGACTGTTGTCCAAGAATGATCTGAACGAAAAGGATCATTTGTGGACAGCACAAACAACATAAGTGAGGGTGGTAAATTTTCTGCCTAGATGCAACAGGCTGAAAAGTAGCTGTAATTCAAATGCCTGAGGTGCGCAGAGACACTTTGCTCCAAAACCCCAGAGAAATTGCTTTGTCTTCACTGTTCCTCTCGTTATCTACTCTACTTCCCGTGCCAGTAACGGCTTAAAAGAGGAGGTCACTGTATCAGTTGACCTGCAACTCAGAAATGCTAAAAACTGTGACAGAGTAATAAATATTGTGGTGCTGCTACATTGTGTGTCTACTTCCTCAACAGTATTTAATAACCTGATACAAAGTGCATTAATCTTTTCTTTTCACCCATCAAGTACTCTTCGATGTCGTGTTAAAAAGGAAACCCACACAGAGGGAGCGGTATGACTTTAGTGTCATCCAGCTGACATACCAGTTTGAACTGACATTAACCCGCTGGAAAAAATTTAGCAGGTCGCCTTCAGTTAAAAAAACAGAACCTAAGGGAACAGAGGTAGCCGAAGGGCTTAGTGGAATGACGAAGAAGTGGCATGTCAAAATGAAGCACAAAAAATCGTCCCAAAAAGCATGAAGGAAAAACCAACCCGAACTCGCTTCAAATCAGCTTTAAGGTTAAATAATTAAAGTAAACAAAGTGAAGAGACTGACATTTCGATAGTATATTCCTCCACCCTGTGTGGGGTAGTATCAAGAGAAAGAGTAAGGAGCAAAGAATTTAAAACCACAGGTTCCATGGTGAGCCCCCTCACAAGAGTTCGTACTGGCGGAGATGCATCCTCTGAATGATGTCTCGACAGTCGTTGAACACTCTGCGGATGTTTTCTGTGTCCACTGCACACGTAAAGTGGGGGTAGCAGTAATGCCGGCCGTCTCCGCTCGCCGTACTTATCCTCTGTGGAGAGAGGGAGGGAAACAAGGGTCAGGTGCCCCGCCACGAGAAGTTTCACGTCTCGGAGGCCTGTAGACCTACGGAGTACCAAGAAACCTGGCAAATTCTGTACCCGGATCATTACAGTTAATAAATACGAAGAAGGCGGGTCTGTGGTGTAGTCCAACACGAGTCACAAATTGGAAACAAAGATAAAAAAGTTAGGGGTAATACTGTGGGGCCAGCGTATTACTGTATGCCCATACGCTGTCCTCAGTCACACCAGCTGTCACCATTTGGACGCCGCTGCGCGGCTAACCCGCTGACAGCACTGCGGTGTGCCACGCAGCCGTCCCGGGAATTACTGTCTCTTCTTTTCTGGTGCCATCATGTGGCAAATTTCTGAACTCTTGTTTTAAGCCAGCAACACAAACCTGAGAACCTCGGCGGGGAGGCCGGGGGGGGCAGAGAAGGCCCCCCCCCCGCCGCTGCCTGGTGAAGCGGCAGGCCCCCGAAGGCACCTTTACCGAGGGCGCCCGTTAAGCTGGCTGAAGGCTCGGTGTCACTGCTGAGACCAGAAGGTGGTGGAGCCGTCACCAGCACGGCCGGGTTCCCACAGAATAATAAAACACGCACAAACCCAGTACACATCAGGCCACGCAGAACTACATTCTCGCAACGCTGCCACACAACTTTTTAGGTTGCTAACTCAAGCTCCAGCATCATTTCACCCCCACTTAGCTTGTTAAAATTCCCCAGAATCTTAAAAAATATTTAAAAAAAACCCCATAATTTTGTTCTATACCACTATAGGACTGATAAATATAAATCCATTCTAGATCTATATCTTGAAGAATATATACAGAATCTCAGGAAAGCAGAAGGTCAATTCTTGGCACAGTAGTTTTTATAAATATTTTCCGAATTTTATTACAAATTGTAATGGCTAAGCAACAAAAGACTGTTTTCGCTGTCTCTCTCTAGCTACACTATACATTTTTAATACAGTGATTTATTTTACATGTGAGATTGACCTTTTGAATACCTACAGCTACAGATATGCAAAACTACAGACATTTAGAAGCCATGATTTACATAATTATATCAACGAGAAATTGCAGATTTTTGCAGGTAACTTAGGTAACATTAGATATTCAACACTAATTAAATTGGGAGCTTCCAAATGTATACTAAAAATCATTGTCTTCTTACTAAGCTACACTCAATGCCTAGTCCAAGGCTTATGCTCATGAAATATATTAATAACATATTCAGTTGATTGATAGGTGAGTTGTTCAGACCATATTTGAAGCATGAAGTACACTAAACAATAATGAAAAGAGAAGGAAAAAAAAAGTTTTACACATTACTGCAATGGTGGCAAGATGCTGACAACTCAATTAAAACACAGATTGTATCTGTCTACCTGCAAGATCTCCCCGAAGGGTCTGGGGAGATCTTTGCTGTCTTGTAATGTCTGGGGGAAGTGAGACCCTCAGAAAGCCAAGGGTGGAAAGGACAGCGGTGTGCATGGACATTCAAGATGATACGAATTGTAAAAAAGTAAAAAAAAGGCAGCAGTGTCCCTATTTTTGACACAATAGCCGCTTTACGGTTTTTTCCCCTGCAGATCTGTTCTCGATGACAGTGACGTAACGCTGCCGCCACTCAGATGCAGCAAGAAGAGACCAGTTACTAAACATTTCTTTTTTTAATTGGACTTAAAAAAATTCTTGTCCCCTAAAAGACGGCCCAGCCTGCCTTCCAGCTACTGCCGCCCTTGTTCCTTCTTTCTTTGCTGGCCTGCCTCGGAGGAGTTGGGCCCTGGCCTGCTGCAGGACTCTGTGGCTCTTTCACGCTGCACTGTGTGTGACCTGCGTCCATACGTGCAGCCTCCAGCTGCTACGGCCGCGCTCCCCCCCCCCCACCCCTTCGAGCAGCGCAGCCTCACGGTGCGGCCAGCGCGCGCCGATGTCTCCGTACGGTCTGCACGCAGCAGCTGCCTACCGTCAGGGTGCGAGAGGGGATCAGGCTCCCGCTCCGATGCGCTCTTCCAAGGACTAAACGTCACCCGCTGGCAGCGAGGGACAACGTGCGAACGCTGTGCGTGCCACCGGGCCGCCGGCAGCAGGGAGCACACCACCCTGCCAACCCGGGGGTCAAGTCTTTTTCTTGTGTTTCGGTAAAACAAGCGTTCTCTCACTGAGCGTTTGCTTATTGTGCACCATTTCCACGGCTGCCTATGGTGGTATGCTGCCCACAACGCTCTGGTGACACCTGGTAACATATAAAGCACATCAAAGGATGCATGTTCCAAAATGTTAGGTCCCCTGACAGCTCTGTACCTCTCTCATTTTAAGATAAACGCAGTATTTTCACCCCTACTTAAAACTAATATTGAATAGTAGTGTGTTACTTCGCACCAGTTCAAAGGGGGGGGAAAAATACCCCCTGGGACAGCAACGAAAGAATGTTTACTTTGCTCTAATGCAAGCATGAGTATTTAATCCCAGCATCCCTGTGCCACAGGGGTCAGGACAACAGCTTCCAGCGAGGAGCCGAACACACGACTCGAGGGAGCCCAGTCTGCGCATTTGAACAGCAGCTCCTTCACCTCCCAGGTTCAGGTTCTTCAAAACCCAGCAGGAACCGGAGGGGCCATGCCACTGTTTTACCAGGGGTTTCCTACCCACTAGGGATGTATCAACCCAAAACACCCGCAGCTGGAGAGCCCTGGGTACAAACCACCCCGACGGGGCCGGG